TTGTGTTTTTTTGTTCTCTCATCACTTTAAAACGAGTTAATTTTGCGAAATTCCGAGGAAAATTCGTCAAATTCGTAACTCAATTTGATCAAAGCTATGCGGGATGATGGCTCCCGGCGTTACGTCACAAAATAAAGCTCTCTGTTTCGCTGGGAAATTTCAGCCAGCCAATCGGAGAGTTTTTTTGAAATTTTTAACATTTCAGCAAGTCAGAGAGCTTTATTTTGTGACGTGACGCCGGGAGCAGTCATCTCGCATAGTTTTGACCAAATTTTCGCAAAATTAACTCGTTTTAAAGTGATGAGAGAACAAAAAAACACAATAATATAGAAGTATTACAGTTATTTGTTACCATAGTGAGTTATATACGAGTTTTTTCGTCATTAAGTTTTTGTATACAGTTTTAAATTTGTATTTAGCTGCCAACCTTGGGGATATATACACATAATGACGCAACGCTATTGTGATGTTACACGTACTTCATGTAATACAAATTATAGAGGTTTTACTGTACATTGAAGCTTTGCATGTCAAAGCATTGCATTTCAAAGCAAATTGTATGGATTTTATTAAAACATAAAAGATCTTTTCGGGAGACCTATGATAAAACTTCCGGCGTTCCGTCGGCAAGTATAAAAGTTATATTCAGATTTTAGTACGCTATATACATTCTTCTGTCGGCCGACAGTTGGTCCGTACGCAAGGATTAAACTGCGCTTTAAAACGTTCGAAAGAAAATATTCATTTGGGTTTTTGGGCTCAAAATACTATCAAAATGAAGAGAGAAGTGAGACGAATCCACTTGTATATAGCCAAAAAAGAGAAAACCAACGATACCAAAGTTATCAAGGATCAAACATACTGCATTTTTTATAATTAAGCGAGCGATTTGTCAACAATACAATTTCGCTTGGCTTTCAAAGACAAAGGCCATAAATCGCTAGCTAGAATACTGTTGTTTATATAGTATAAATACATTCGACATTTGTAAGGACAATTTCTTCCGCTGAATCGAACGGTGGTATTTTTATCCTTATATTGCGCCATTTAAGGGACGGACCATTAGATATTTGAGGGGGAAATACCAAAAAAAATTCGCGCACAGAAAAAATTCAGAAAAAAAATATCGTGCAAGAACAAGGGCTGATTTTTAAAATCGTAATGCAATTATTCTAAAACATTAAAATGGTGTTTGTACGACAATCGTAAACTTTTCGGCGAACTTTCCGGCAAGCAATTGGGGGATGAAACAAAAATTCGCGCACAGAAAAATCGCCCAACCCCCCAACCCCTTAAATATCTAATAGTCCCTCCCTAATAGGCATTTATACAAATATAATATCATGTTTCACACTACACTCTACAGCTTCCACCTTTCCACAGCTATAACTATAAGGGGCTGTTGTTGGATAAATTTTATATTGATATGACACCAATATGCTTGTCATAAAGTATTTATCTATTATAAAACTACGTTGTGTAGTTTAAGTTATAACCTTTTACCTTGAAATTGTCTTTGGCTCGTTTAGATTCAGATTCAGTATATCATGATCGTGCACGGGAATTTAGCGATCCAAATTTCGGATTTTCAGAGTCGTGCACCAAGAAAAATGCATTAACTAAACTAGCAAGAATGTCCAGAGCTTGACACAATGCAAAATCTATAGAAAACCGGTACAATTCTTTGAATATTTTAACGAAATTGTTTGAAACATTTTGCCCACTCCACGAAATAATAGAAATATTTGCTTGAAACATTTTGCCCAATTGCTGATTTGAAATTCCTTTTAAAATTCTTCAATTTTCCCAAATTTTCCTCAAAATGCAGGGTTATTTATGGCTAATTTGGGTAAAATTGGCAGGAGCCTTATGGATAATTTGGGTGAAAATTAGGCAGCTCATTAATATTCTATTTTGTGGCTATCGACGATTGGAGATTGTAGATTGCCGTTTGGAGCCGAAACCTATACTCGCCTGGGCACAGGTGCCTCAGCGAGTAATAAAATAGTTGAGTAGTTGGAAAAAAACATGGAGCACCAAAAAATTGGCAGCTGCCGCTCCGAACAGAAATGATTACTCACAATCATATAAATTGACTAGCAAATAAATTGCACGTTTACTTATACTAAATTAATTAATTTATGGCACTCAATCCAACTTTTACAACGTTGGCAAAATTAAAAGATTTTGCTACAAAATCTCAAGACCTATTATTTTGTCAAAAATCTACCTGTTATAACTAATGTAATTTTATATATATTTCCTAAAGAATCTATTTCTCAACTTTTTGTGATCAGGTCAAACAAAAACTGAACCGAAATATCTGTACCAGCATAAATGATCTACTCATTTGTAAGAAAAAAATGCCAAGTATTTTGTACAAGTTGATTGTTTGTAGATAGCATAATGCATAACATAACAAAACCTGACAAACGTGCTGTAAATTTAAACAGGCATCGGTCGGGGCTTTTGGTTATATAAATACTTCAAAACTTGGAATCTTCTCCATTTTCTAGGGGAGGGTGTCGCTGCCACTGTATACCACAGCAAAGATGACCACAACAAAACAAAAATTACCAAAAACACGAAAATGTTTTTAAAACAATTTGTTTTTGCATGGTGCTTCTATAATAATTGTAAACAAAACAGTTATTTTCACGCTTTTAGTAATTCCATTAATTACAAATAATTTTAAAGGACATGCACCTTTACACACTGTTAAACAGAAAAAAATTGCTCGTTTGTAACCGGGCCGGAACACAACGCAAAGCCATTTTGTCAGGAGGGGAATAGTATATGGATATTTGGAAATGAGCAACCAATCAAATTGCGCGAAAAGCACTATTCACCTTGGGGATATACACTAATATAATTTATTCTTCCAATCAAAATTGTTAAAATATTATTTCGTATCGCATGAACTTGCGAATAGTAATAAAAGGTACCCATCCAGCCAGATTTTGAGCCAGTGAAAGGCAGTGTACTTTAATAGTAAGCAATACAAAATTTTCAGTGGCACTGAACAGTAAGCCCTGATAAATTCCTTGCTTTCAACAAAATTCCAAACCGCCATTCACATGCATGACTTCATACCGTACCCTCAGCCCTCTTCACGGTTGTTTCCTTTAAAATATTTACCCTTAAATTTGGTCATCTCAGTTATGAAGATTCATCTTTGTAAATACCAAATGGTAATTTAAGTAGATTTATCTTCCCTTTGACAATAGTGGATATGCTATTTGCTAATAAACCGATTGATTTTTAAATAACCGATTGTTTCTTAAATTTTAGCTTCAAAAATGTCTGATGTACCATGGGAAAGCGAAGAGAAACGAAATTACATTTGTATGCGACATATTATCACTGATATTGTAAGTGAAGGATTGAGGAAAGTTTTTAAAAACGAATGGAACACTCGTTTCCAGGCAAGGTTCGGAGCATGGGATGACACCAGTGCAAGTGGCGTGCAGTTGTTTTCTTTGGAAAATACACGCTCAAGACCAAACAAGAACGTGAACCAGGCAAAATTTCAACATGGGGATACAAATCGATGGGATTGTTCTGCGCTTTTTGACGCAATTTTGTATTCGAACTCTATTGGTAAATCAAGTTTGAATCCAACAATTAAGACTGAAGTTGACAATATTCGAAAGATGCGAAATAAAATTATGCATGCTGATGAAACAATCTTATCTGATGCTGACTTCCAAACCATGATCAGCCATATTGAAAATGCATTTAAAACCCTAGGTCTTCCAATTCATGATATCACACAAATTAAAATTAAGAGAAACTGTAACAAATCATTCCAAGTTTTACCTTCAAAGCCAACCCATGAAATTGTTTACCGTGCTGAGAAAATCAACGAAATAAAGCAGGAACTCCAGAAGCTGTACATAAATAGCGGCGGGAAACTTACATATCTCTATATTTCCGGAAATCCCGGTAGTGGGAAATCACAGCTATCCCGGCAGCTGAGCGAGGATCTATTCAAAGGCGTAAACTGGGAAACAGAGGCAACATTTGTAATGACATTACACGCAAGAAACGTAGACACTATTCTCCAATCGTATCAAGATTTTAGTCGACGTCTAAATTGTTCTGAGAGTATACTGCAAAATGTAATCAATTCATGCAAACCAATACGCGAAAAGATCAAAGATTTACGATCACTGATTGAAAGCAGAATAAAGAACTGGAAGAGGTGGTGGATTATTGTAGACAATGTGGAAGATCTCAATATCATTTCACCCCTGCTACCACAGATGGGCGACGAAGTTTGGAATAATGGTCAGATTATATTAACAATTCAGAATAGAACTGCAGTCCCTTCTGACAGCCTGCTCACTAAACATATTTCACTCAGTTGTGGTATGAAAATCCAAGAATGTCGTCGGTTACTGTTCTTATTATCAGGAACAGATGTTAATGATCCATTGTTAGAAGAAGTTGCTGAGAAATTAGATCACCAACCTTTGGCTATAGCTGCTGCAGGTGCATACTTCAAGAAAGTCAAGGAGGCAAATTGTTTTCCAACGTTTTCGTGGCAAGATTACTTAGAAAAGTTAAAATGTAAAAGGGAAGTCACAGAAGAACCGCTTCTCAAAACCAGTTCTGCTTATCCATCCACCATGTCTGCAGCGGTGTCTCTAGCTGTTGAAAAATCTGCGGAAAATAGTTTCATTTTAAAACACACATTCTATCTTTTTTCTCTGATCTCTTTTGAACCGTTACCACTTCATATTATCACCAAATACATTCAACAACTTGATCAAAACTGTGATAAAGAGGACGTTTATTTGGCAGTGAAGGACTGTTCACTTTTTATTCTTGCTGAAGAAGAAGATTGTGATGTCCATCTGCATCGCATTATCCATGAAGTAACTAAATCATTTAGTGATTGCAAAGAAACTGAAACTAAAGACGATTCTCAGAGTGATGCTGCTAACAAAAGACCGACAATTTGCGCTCCAAATACAGCTCAAAACGTTGCTAAAGCGCTTTACTGTTTCAAAGACAGGGATGATGAAATCAAGATGATTCCACATTTGAAGGCATTTAATTTAGCAGATAAGAAATTTCTTCCCGCACAGGATTCGTTATATTCAAACAGATTAGCCTCTGACAATGGAGAAATTTGTAAAATATATCTGTTTTTTGGACGGACTTTACATTACTACTCCGAGTTTAAACTCGCTGTTGAATTTCATAATACGAATCTTCAGATTTGTAGAGGCCTAGAAAAGCACAATTACCAGTTTTATATATTCAACGATCTCGGCATATTACACAGGAAAATGTGCAATTTCGAACTGGCTAAGGATTACCATGAACGAGCAAAGGCAGTTATAGAAAAGCAGTTCGGTCCAGACCATATCGATGTTGCACTTGCTTATAATAACATTGGTGAAGTTTATTTTGATAAAGGTGAACTGGACCAAGCTAAGGGTTATTATGAACGAGCACTAGCAATTGAAAAGAAGCATTTAGGTCCAGACCATGTCCATGTTGCAGATTCCTATGACAACATTGGTGAAGTGTATCGTGCTAAAGGTGAACTAGACCAGGCCTTAGATTATCATGAACGAGCAAAGGCAATAACAGAAAGCCAAGTTGGTCTAGACCATGTTGATATTGCACTTTCGTATAACAACATTGGTGACGTTTTTTATGATAAAGGTGAACTGGACCATGCTAATAATTATCATCAACGAGCACTAGCAATTAAAGAACAGCAATTAGGTCCAGACCATGTAGAAGTTGCAGATATTTATAACGATATTGGTGAAGTGTATCGTGCAAAGGGTGAACTGGATCAAGCCTTAGATTACCACAAACGAGCAAACGCAATTACACAAAAGCAATTAGGTCCAGATCATGTTGATGTTGCACTTTCTTATAACAAAATGGGTGAAGTTTATTATGATAAAGGTGAACTGGATCAGGCTAAGGATTATCATCAACAAGCTCTGGAAATTTACAAAAAGCAATTAGGTCCAGACCATATCGATGTTGCACATTGTTATAACAAAATTGGTGTACTGTTTCGTGCTAAAGGCGAACTGGACCAGGCTGAGGATTATCATCAACAAGAACTGACTATTAGAGAAAATAAATTAGGTCCAGACCATGTTGATGTTGCAGATTCATATAACAACATTGGCGAAGTTTGTTTCGGCAAAGGCGAACTGGACCAGGCTAAGGGATATTATGAACGAGCACTGGTAATTATACAAAAGCAATTAGGTCCAGACCATATTGACATTGCACAATCCTATGCCAACATTGGCGAAGTGCATCGTGCCAAAGGAGAACTGGACCAGGCCTTAGATTGTCATAAAAGAGCAAACGCAATAACAGAAAAGCAATTAGGTCTAAACCATGTTGATGTTGCACTTTCTTATAACAACATTGGTGAAGTTTATTTTTGTAAAGATGAACTGGACCAGGCTAACAGTTATTATGAACGAGCACGTGCGATTAAAGAAAAGCAATTAGGTCCAGATCATGTTGATCTTGCAGATTCCTATAACAGAATTGGTGTAGTGTATTATGCTAAAGGTGAACTGGACAAGGCTAAGGATTGTCATCAACGAGAACTGGCAATTAAAGAAAAGCAATTAGGTCCAGACCACGTTGATGTTGCAGATTCCTTTGACAACATTGGCGAAGTGTATCGTGCAAAAGGTGAACTTGACCAGGCATTACATTTTCATGAACGTGCAAAGGCAATAACAGAAAAGCAATTAGGTCCAGACCATGTTGATGTTGCAGATGCTTATCACAAAATTGGTGTAGTGTATCATGCTAAAGGTGAATTGCAAAAGGCTAAGAATTATCACCTACGAGCACTGGACATTAAAGAAAAACAATTAAGTCCAGACAATCCTGATCTTGTATTTTCTTATCACAACATTGCAGAAGTTTATTATGATAAAGGACATCTGGACCAAGCAAAGGATTATCATCAACGAGCACTGGTAATTCACAAAAAGCAATTAGGTCCAGACCATGTCGATGTTGCAGATTGTTATAACAACATTGGTGTAGTGTGTCGTGCCAAAGGTGAACTGGACTATGCTAAGGAATATCATCAACGAGCATTGACCATTAAAGAAAAGCAACTAGATTCAGACCATGTCGATGTTGCAGATACTTATGACAACATTGCTGAAGTTTATTTGCGTAAAGGTGAGCTGGACCAGGCTAAGGGTTATTATGAACAAGCATTAATGATTAAAGAAAAGCAATTAGGTCCAAACCATGTTCACGTTTCAGATTCCTATGACAATATAGGTGAAGTGTATCGTGCTAAAGGTGAATTGGACCAATGCTTAGATTATCATGAACGAGCAAAGGCAATAACAGAAAAGCAATTAGGTCCAAACCATGTCAAAGTTGCAGATTCCTTTAACAAAATTGGTGTAGTGTATCATGCTAAAGGTAAACTGGACAAAGCTAAGAATTATTATCAACGAGCACTTGCCATTAACGAAAAGCGATTGGGTCAAGACCATGTTCGGGTTGCAGTTTCCTATGACAACATTGGTGAAGTGTTTCAAGCTAAAGGTGAACTGGACCAGGCGTTAGATTATCATGAACGAGCGAAGGCAATAACTGAAAAGCAATTAGGTCCAGTCCATATTGATGTTGCGGATACTTATTACAAAATTGGTGCAGTGTATTATGCTAAAGGTGAACTGGACAATGCTAAGGATTATCATCAACGAGCACTGGCAATTAAAGAAAAGCAATTAGGAACAGGCCATGTTGACGTTGCTGATTCCTATGACAACATTGGTGAAGTGTGTTATGCTAAAGGTGACCTGGACCAGGCCTTATGTTATCATGAACGAGCAAAGACAATAATTGAAAACCAATTAGGTGTAGACCATGTTGACATTGCAGATTCTTATGACAAAATTGGCGTAGTGTACCATGCTAAATCTGAATTGGATAAGGCAAAGGATTATCATCAACAAGCACTGGCAATTAAATTGAAGCAATTAGGTCCACTCCATGTTGATGTTGCAGATTCTTATGACAACATTGGTGAAGTGTATCGTTCTAAAGGTAAACTGGAAAAGGCTAAGGATTATCATCAACGAGCACTGGCCATTAAAGAAAAGCAATTAGGTCCAGCCCATGTTAACGTTGCAGATTCTTATAACAAAATTGGTGTAGTGTATTATGCTAAAGGTGAGCTGGAGAACGCTAAGGATTATCATCAACGAGCATTGGCAATTAAAGAAAAGGAATTAGGCCCAGACCACGTTGATATTGCAGAATCCTATGACAACATTGGTGAAGTGTATCGTGCTAAAGGTGAACTGGACCGTGCCTTAGATTATCATGAGGGAGCAAAGAAAATAACAGAAAAGCAACTAGGTCCAGACCGTGTTGATGTTGCAGATTCGTATGACAAAATTGGTGCAGTGTATCATGCAAAAGGTGAACTGGAGAAGGCTAAGGATTATCATGAACGAGCACTGGCAACTAAAGAAAAGATTTTAGGTACAGACCATGTCAGCCTTGCAGATTCCTATGACAACATCGCTCAAGTGTATCATGCTAAAGGTGAACTGGACCAGGCCTTAGATTATCATGAAAGAGCAAAGGCAATAACTGAAAAGCAATTTGGTTTAGACCACGTTGATGTTGCAGGTTCTTATCAGAAAATTGGTGCAGTGTATTATGCAAAAGGTGAACTGGACAAGGCTAAAGATCATCATCAACGGGCACTGGCAATTAAGGAAAAGCAATTAGGTCAAAACCATGTTGATGTTGCTGATTCCTATGACAACATTGGTGAAGTGTATAGTGCTAAAGGTGAACTGAACCAGGCTAAGGATTATCACCAACGAGCACTGGCCATTAAAGAAAAGCAATTAGGTCCAGACCATGTTGACGTTGCAGATTCTTATGACAACATTGGTGAAGTTTATTTTGGTCAAGGTGAACTGGACCAGGCTAAGGGTTATTATGAACAAGCATTAGTAATTAAAGAAAAGCAATTAGGTCCATACCATGTTCACGTTGCAGATTCCTATGACAACATTGGTAAAGTGTATCGTGCTAAAGGTGAACTGGACCAGGCCTTAGATTATCATGAACGAGCCAAGGCAATAACAGAAAAGCAATTAGGTCCAAACCATGTTGATGTCGCAGATTCTTTTGACAAAATTGGTGTAGTGTATCATGCTAAAGGTGAACTGGACAAGGCTAAGAATTATCATCAACGAGCCCTTGCCATTAAAGAAATCCGATTAGGTCAAGATCATGTTGACGTTGCAGTTTCCTATGACTACATTGGTGAGGTGCATCATGCTAAAGGTGAAGTGGAACAGGCCAAAGATTGTCATCAACGAGCATTGGTAATCAAAGAAAAGAAATTAGGTCCAGACCATTACGATGTTGCTGATTCTTATAACAAAATTGGTGTCGTGTATTATGCTAAAGGTGAACTGGACAATGCTAAGGATTATTATCAACGAGCGTTGGTAATTAAAGAAAAGCAATTAGGTCCAGACCATGCTGACGTTGCTGGCACCTATGACAACTTTGGTGAGGTGTATCGTGCTGAAGGTGAACTGGACAAGGCTATGTATTATCATCAACAAGCACTGGAAATTAAAGTGAGGCATTTAGGTCCAGTCCATCTGCATGTTGCAAATTCCTATGACAACATTGGTGAAGTGTATCATGCTAAAGGTGAACTGGAACAGTCTAAGGATTATCACCAGCGAGCACTGGCCATTAAAGAAAAGCAATTTGGTCCAGACCATGTTGATGTTGCCGATTCTTATCACAAAATTGGTCTTGTATACCATGCTAAAGGTGAACTGGACAAGGCTGAGGATTATTATCAACGGGCACTAGCAATTAAAGTGAAGCAATTAGGTTTAGTTCATGTTGATGTTGCAGATTCCTATGAGAACATTGGTGAAGTGTATCGTGCTAAAGTTGAACTGGACCAGGCTAAGGATTATTATCAACGAGCACTGGCCATTAAAGAAATGCAATTAGGTCCTGACCATGTTGACGTTGCAGGTTCCTATGACAACATTGGTGAAGTGTATCGTGCTAAAGGTGAACTGGACCAGGCTAAGGATTATTACCAACGTGCACTGGGCATTAAAGAAATACAATTAGCTCCAGACCATGTTGATGTTGCAGATTCCTATGATAACATTGGTGAAGTTTATTATGCTAAAAGTGAACTGGATCAGGCTAAGAGTTATTATGAACGAGCGCTGGCAATTAAAGAAAAACAATCAGTTCCAGATGATATTAGTATTGCACTTTCTTATAACAACATTGGTGCAGTGTATCATGCCAAAGGCGCACTGGACCAGGCTAAGGATTATTATGAACGAGCGCTGGCAATTTACAAAAAGCAATTTGGTCGAAACCATGTTAATGTTTCAGATTCTTATAACAAAATTTGTGAAGTGTGTCGTTCTAAAGGTGAACTGGACGAGGCTGAGGAATTCTATCAACAAGCACTGGAAATTTACGAAAAGCAATTGGGTCCCGACCATGTTGATGTTGCTGATTCTTATGACAACGTTGACACAGTGTAAAATGCTTAACGTGACCTGTTACCAATCAGCACAGAAAATTTGTAGCCGAAACTAGGTTCAGACCATGGTGTTGTTACTAGATGTTGCCAAAACCAATAACCTTAGCGTATTATGCTAAAGGTGACCTGAACCATTTTTCGAAAGAGGTAAGGAAATTCGAGAAATGCAACTAAATGCTGATGACATTTGAGATTTATTTAAAAATATATATTAATTAGTAACATTCGGCGAAAAGCGGCAAACAGATCAAGGGCTCAGGTTTCGTTTTTGTAGATTTAATACAGAACATCGATAGGTATAGACCATAGAAATAATAGATATACTGTAGAATGCGTACTTCTATCTTTTCTGTGTGAAAAATTTATCTCCACAAAATGGCGGATTTATAAGGGCATATTGGTTGATCCCAGACTTCCGAGGCGGGGAATTTCGCGCGGTTGAAGGGAGTGCAGTGCGAATTGTTTTTTCAACTCGAGTTTTAACTGCAAAGTTTGCAAAAATTTTATATCGAGAATTTATAAAATGGAAAAAAAGTTTTACAAAGAAGAAAAAGTGTCTGATGGGCTTTTTTACGAAAAGCAACAGTTTTGAACAGAATATATACAGAAATCGTCGTTTAAAAATAAATTTTCAACGTTGTTGTGCAAGCCAAAACAAAACCCGAAAGATCAAGACAAACTCAAACTCAATAGGTATGTTCTACAAATGTTTCAACTTTTTTATAATATAAATGAAGTTCAATAATCTTTTTAAACTTACACAATTACTTTTCATATTTTTCTACGTTGCTTAAGCTTGAGGCAACGCTTTTGAAACCATAGTTTTCGACGATAAGGACACGCATGAGAAAAAGTGGAGACATGATTCGTGATCAAGTACGCATTCTATATCTATTATTTCTATGGCATAGACATACACACTGCAAAGTAATTGAGAGGAAAATATGATTGCTGTATCCAAATTTTGGACCAGCGTTTAAATTTTCTGATATATTTTTTTACTGTATAAACAAAATTGGGCTTCACTTGTTACATGGGTCATATTCATCATATATACCTACAATCGTTGCTACAATTGTTGAACCCGCGTTCCACAAACAATTAGGCACGATTGTTGGTATACTGGGTATATCAGAAAAAAGTGGACAATTTTGAAATGGCTCTCGATTTCACAAATCCGTCCATGTCATGAAATGTTTGGTAAATATAGCTTGTTTGGGTACTTATAATGTAGAATGAACAAAAAAACTTTGTAAAAAAACTTTTTTAGGAGCATTAAAAACAGTGCAAAATTTAAAATTTTAAAGCGCATTTGAGCTCATGGGCGGGAAATTTGTTATGTGTTTTATTAATGGTCCAAATATCAGAAAATTTGCTCAATTTTAAGTCCTAAGATAGTATCCTATTTATTTTTATTTATTTATTTGTTGAATTTGTCACCATACAAAAAAAAAGAGATTACAATGACGAAGATAACTATGTGACAGGAGAACGGAACAGGACTTTCGTCCCACTTGAAACCTAACCCCTTAAAATTATACACAATATACTATTTGTCTTTGCTCAACAATTTATACATTATACTTTTGTATACATTTATATACATATACACATATTTGGAAACGACTAACATGACAAAAAGAAGTTTAGGAATGACTATAATTAGCCGGAACAACCAGGAGGACTGTATGTGGATAACTTTGTAATATACAAGTTAATTAGGGTAGACTTGAATGCAGGTAACGAGTGGTAGACTTTAAGGTATGATGGCAGACAGTTCCATAGTTCGGCTGATCTAATAAAAAACGATTTTCTGTAACAATCTTGTTTATGTTTAATGATTAGATTGTAGTTGTTAATATCATAATTCCGAGATCTATATTTTGGCTCGAAAGTGCAAAGGAAATTATTGACATCGAATTATTGACATTAGAATCATCAAATCGGCAATTTCTCTGCGAAATTCAAGGGGAAGAAGATTGGTTCTGGCAAGTCTCTGTGTATATGACATATCCGGAGGATAGTTCAGAATAAATTTAGTGGCCCGCCGTTGGACGTTTTCAATTAAGGAACGATACTTAACTGTATACGGTGACCACAAACTACTGGCGTACTCAAGTTTAGGCCGCACAAGAGAACAGTACAACAATTTTCTGACTTTCAGATCAGGGAGTTCTTTACATACCCTTTTAACCAGACCGAGCGTTTTATTAGCCTTGGCCACAATATTTTCAATATGCCTTGACCACGACAAATCATTTGACACAGTGACACCAAGATCCATAATGAAAGGAACACAATCCAACGACTGATTATCAATGGTGTACACTGCTTCTCTTATCAATGACTTCTTCCTGGAGATGTTCATTACCTTGCATTTAGCCTTATTAAATGCCATTCTCCAGTCCAAACTCCACCTTTGCAAGCGGTCGAGGTCACTCTGAAGATTGTAACTGGAGGTTGAATCGAGAATGGGTTTGAACAGCTTGGAATCGTCAGCAAACAAAGCAATTGTTGAGTTGTACTGAATGTAGTTAGGGACATCGTTGACGTATAAAACAAACAACAATCGACCGAGTATAGAACCTTGTGGTACACCGGACGTGACAGGAAGCCAATCAGAGAATGATTCGTCTAGAGAAACTCTTTGGTACCTATCTGTGAGGTAACTACCAAACCAAGAAAGAAGAGATCCGTTGATACCATGATGCTTTAGTTTGAGTAATAACAATTTGTGAGGGACTTTATCCAAGGCTTTTGATAAGTCAAGATAGATTACATCAACTTCGTTACCGGATGCTACGGAGTACAGGGTGTCATGGTACACTTCTAATAGTTGTGTTGTCGTTGATTTACCCTTGAGAAATCCATGTTGAAATTGATAGAAAGAAGGGTAGAGGTGATGATAACAGTGATTAAAAACGCAACGTTCCAATACTTTGGAGATAACACAAAGCAAAGAGATTGGTCTGTAGTTCGATGTTATTGTGGGATCATCTTTTTTAAAAACAGGGGTAATATTGGCAAACTTCCACTTGGCAGGTACCACTCCAAGAGAGAGAGACATATTGAAAAGAATACAAAGTGAAGGAGCAATCTCATCGGCGACCTTGGACAGAATTCTGCTCGGAATACCATCTGGTCCACACGCTTTGTTGTGGTCTAAACTACGAAGCACCGCAGAAACTTCGGAGATTGTAAGATCAATATCAGAGAGTTTGATACAAGAAGATTCCATTGAAGTAGAGAGCGTTGAAGGTGGATCTACGTTGCCAGGGCTAAAAACGGACTGGAAAAATTTGTTGAATAAATTTGCTTTGATGCGGCTGTCGGTCGTAAAGGATTGTCCATTTCGAATAAAATTTGGGCTCTGATTTGTTTTAGTCGAAGATTTCGGAAGTGACCAGAAACGTTTGGGATTTTCAAACATTGACTCTTTTAGTTTATTGGCGTGATCACATTTTTTCTTGGAGATAAGCTTTTTTGTTTCGCGTCGGATTAACCTAAATTTCTCTAAGTTATCGGGGTGTTTTGTCCTTAGCAGCTTTTTTCTATGCTTGATTTTCTTTTTAATGAGCTCCAGCAACTCTTTATCGATCCAAGGGTGATCGTAAACGTTTCTTGAGGAAAATTTAGGGATGTGATCATGAACGATTGAGAGAAACAGGTCACACCATTTTGAAAGGGAAGCATCAATGTCCTCTGGAACAAAGCATGCGTCAAAGGGGGTATTTAGTAGCACGTCCTTGAGACCAGTCCAATTAGCTTTTTTGAAATTGAAAACCTCGCACGCTTGACTTTAGGCTTTTTGTTGATTTTAAGGTCAAGTTCGAAACTAATAAGTTTATGATCAGTATTCAGGATGTCTTCAAAACCTTGAACATTTATGACTTTATCTGGTAAATTGGTAAAAACTAAATCCAGGATGTTATCGGATCTAGTTGGAAAGTCAACGAGCTGATATAAGTAGTTGTCTTTAATAGTTTTAGGGAAATAGTTGTGAATACAGTCGTTGTTAGTAGCTGAACCAGTAGACCAATCAATATGTGGAAGGTTGAAGTCTCCGCAAACGACTAAGTGGTCAAACTTTGCTTTGATGGCAAGGTGA